CTCATATCTTTCACAAAAAAGTTTCAAGTTTCCTAGAAAATGTGCTGTGATATATGGCATAAATAAACTGGCCACACACATATGTTCTATATGAAATTCTATGATGATAAAAACATATTAAGAATGTTGAAACTTAAAGCATAACCCTCTCTATTGTCTCTTTAACTGTAAATAATTTGTGAAAGATGTTTTAAATTAAGTGTCTTTTATTCCAAGGGTTTTACTGAAAATGAACAAATGTGGAATTCAAGCAAGTTTACTCTTTCATTAACTCACCTCATCTGAAATCCTAGAATCATTTCCAATTTTGTTTCATGAACTGCAGAAAAAAAAAATAATTTGACCCAGAAGAAATGTGCGTGTGTAAACACAAACACACAAACACATACACATAGATATACATACATACAGTATGCAAAACTGAAACAAGAATTTTGAAAATAATAATAATCCTTAGTATAAGTGAGAGACTCTTATTTTAAATTTAAATTTTAAAATATTCCTTGTCACAACCTACAAATTTTATTTCATAAATCACTGATAGATAATAAATTTGAATATAAAAAACAATGGTTTATATAAAGAATTGTCCAGAGCCAAAATGACAAGTTTGATCATAATTTTGTATATAGTGAAATGTATGTATATATAGTTGATGTTATGGATGTAGATAATTAAGTTACTCATAATTTTACTCAGCTCATACATGCTTTTTTTTTTTTTGAGAGAGGGAGGAAGGGAGGGAGGGAGGGAGAGAGAGAGAGAGAGAGAAAGAGAGAGAGAGAGAGAGAGAATTTTTTAATATTTATTTTTTAGTTTTCGGTGGACACAACATCTTTATTTTTTATGTGGTGCTGAGGATCAAACCCAGCACCCTGCACATGCCAGGCGAGCACACTACCACCTGAGCGGTCATCCATGACCAGCCCTGGTCATCCATGTTTTAATGTAAATTTAAGAAGGTTATCTGTGAAAAAGTTTTGTTTTATGAACATCTTCAGACAAATTATTTAGATGTCTTTTAAAGGACATGCATTTAAAGAATATGGCTTTTAAATTTTTCTCCAAAATGTATGCATATATTAACTATCAGTAAATGTTATTTAATTTTTAATTAAATTTGCACAATGATATAGTGTTGTATAAATTGAATTATATGCTTTTTACAATTTATTATTTAGAGAAGATATTTGAATGCAAGATTTCTAATGATTTTAAAGAACTCTAAAAAAGAGACTAAATTTAGCTTCAAATCTGTAACAGCTTATTTAAATCATTGAAGCTTATACGTTTTTGGAGTCATTTTTCTTCAATAATTGTCTGGTTCCAGAAATCTGGGAAGTGACTTAAACAGATAACCTTGGGGCAGGATATGTTTCAAAATAGTTCTTATGTAAATAGGAATCTAATAATAATTACAACTATAACATGATTTATTGGGTTATTATAAAAAGTCAGGCATTCTACTTAGTACTTTATATACTCTTCTTTAAATCTTAGCATGATCTTATTAGGGAAGAAAGTATTACTGTTCCTATTTTATATATCAGAGTTATAGAAGGGCTAAGTAGCTTCCCAATATGATAAGACCTTTGATCAGAGTCAAGATACAAACACCCACTGTTTATCTCTAAAGCCCCTGAGGTTAACAACCACATTCTACTACTGCCATAATAAATATCCCATTTCCTCTCACTTGTAACCTAGAGAAGGCAGAAGTTCAGAATTGGATTGAAGTGTTTTTAATTTAGATTCAAGACTGGTTTCATAATTTGGAGGTCCCAGTTAAAAATGAAATGCTTGGAGGCTGGGGATATGGCTTAGTGGTAGGCACTCGCCTAACATGCTCAAAGTCCTGGGTTCAATTCCCAGCACTGCCTGCACCCCCCCCCCAAATGAAATGCACAACTCCTTATTCAAAGAGTAGGAAAAGAGTATATTAAAATTACTAAAATATAAAGCTGTTTATTCCATGCTCCCTCTCACTTTTCATGGTGTTTATTTGCTATTTAACATTATAGTGAATAAAGACAGTTAAAAATTTAAAGTGTTAAGCTGGGTTTTACTGTTCATTGTTATATTGTTCAATTTCAGTTGTGAATGCCATTTTAAGAGTGTTTAACTCATAAAAAAATCACCAGATTGTATAATTTGCATCTCATCGCTAGAAAATGTATATGTATTCATTCTTACCAGAATGTAGAAACACACAAATTAGTTGTTTTTATTTTACTTTTTGAAATGCTTATATTCTAGCAATACTTCCTCTTTTCAGCTTACTGAGTAAGCAACGACTGAAATGCAAAAGGAATTATGGGTGCTTTAACTTTTTCTTTCTGTGTGATCAATTTCAGTATAAGTTGCTCAAGCAGGCAGGTAGCACATAGAGGAAAGGACATGATAGGGGTTCTTGGTCTTTTGTGTTTTATTAGAATTGCCTTCTTTCTGCATTTCAAATAAGGTCTGATTCAAATGGGAAGCATGATCTACCAGGGGCTGGGGCTCTGAGTGCCCTCCTTTATCAGTTACAGACATAACAGTCTCATCTTATATTCTCTTTGAGTCTTGTTAAACTTAAATACTGTGAGTTCATCAGACTTCTGTACTCAAGGGGCATTGAAAACACTATATGTACAAGGAGGAGACACACATATTGCATGTATCTCCTTTTCTCAAATCCGTGCTTCCTCATCCCATTGGACTTCTCTTTAAAAACCCAAGTACTAAGACAAAATTATTAAAAAGTTAAAAATAGCAACAACAGATAAAATAAACTTGGGTTCCTTTTTTTTTGTAGTTATAGATGGATAGCATGCCTTTATTTTATTTGCTTATTTTTATGTGGTGCTAAGGGTCAAATGCAGTGCCTCACACATGCTAGGCAAGTAGTCTACCACTGATCTACAGCCCCAGCCCAAACTTGGGTTCCTTTTGAATTCAGGGTCCTGTGGTAAGTACACAGGTTCACAATCGTGATTCCACCTAGACACATCTCTTTAGGCTACCATTTTAACTTTTCTCCTTAATGCTTACTTTGATATTGACTATTAATATTTCAAGATAAAAAAGGATACACTATGGAATGTGTAATACATTACAGATCCCTTTGGGATCCCATGTGAATAATTCTCTATTTGAGATACTAAAGGTAGGTGATTTTGACTTACCAGGATGGCCTATTTTGAATAGTTCTCTATAAACAGGAAAGGAGTACATTGTTTGATGAAAAGATAACTCTAACAATTGCCGCTATGCTTTGTAATCTTAAAGGATTTAACATTTGGGGGAAATTTACAATTATATTGGTTTTAAAACTGGAGAATTTATCATAAGAACACAGTTAGGTTGTTGCTGGCAGCTCAGTTGGCTAAGGCCCAGCATTGAGGTGGTCTAGAAATATAAGATAGTCATACCAGGGGGAAAACCATCAAAAGTTGAATTTCCAGGGCTGGGGTTGTGGCTCAGTGGTAGAACACTATCCTAGCACATGTGATGCACTGGGTTTGATCTTCAGAACCATGTAAAAATAAATAAACAAAATAATGTATATATTTTTAAAAAGTTGGGTTTTCTCTAGGCAAGAACATAAAATTTCCAAATAGCTCCTGGAAATTTTATGTTGCCTTTTGTTTCATTTTCAAAATCTTCTTGTTAGGATCCTGTGCTGGCTTGCAGTAATTGGGGTGCACTCAAGACTCCTTTCCAAACACTTTTTCAATATTCTATTGACTCTGTTTAACTCCATGAACTGCTTGCCTATGTTCTTTACTTCATCATGAAACTCTTAAATACAGTCATGATTTCTGATGCCCAGAAACCCATCATCAGTGCATTTGACTCAAAGAAAAACTTATGTAGACTTTTTTATTTATTCAAATATTTTCCCTTAATAATTGTCCTAAGGTTAAAACAGCACATAAGTCATCCCAACAGATATCTTCTGATGCTTCATGGAATTGTTCTCATAGTAGCTGAATATCAGCCAATGCATGCCAGGTTTAGAGGCGAATGCTGAATTGTGTAAATGACCCTGTCTCTATTGCTTGGCTTTGGGTGGGAAGTTTTGGCCATTCAGAAGTCCACACACTCCAGAAGAACCCTTTCTAATAAAATTTCTCCAGTCAATATCCTTTCTTCACCTTAAGCACCTTTGAGCTAGATAGTAGGTTAGGGGTTGTGAGATCAGTTTTATGATAACCTTTTAGCAATTCCTTCATGAGAGCTTAGATTTTTTCTTTAGAGAATGGGCACTTTGTACTGTTTATACTTAGCTTTAGGATTCTAGTGGAAATTTCAAGAAACATATTTGTAACAGTTTACTTATATTTATTTAATATCTAAGTAATTATATTGGTTAGCACCTATTTCATAGCAAGAGTAAGAAATTGTCTTGCTAGTTAAGTTATTTGTCTCCTGGAAATAAATGCTAAATTTATAAAATTTTTTATCCTGTTAGAAGTTTTAGACAAGTCTTCAACATATTTTTTAAAAATTTATCTTCATCTCCTCTACACACACAGTTATTTTCTTATTGATACTTTTACTATTCTGTGAAATTTTGGAAATATTTTCTTATACCAGGTCATCTTGGAAGAAATGTTTCCTTTAAAGGAATTCCAAATACATGTAAATATAATCCCAGTAATGTATGTGTAAAATATTTTAAATATGAACTGGAAAATGTAACCTATGGATGAAATTGCGTAGGATTTTAAAGGCAACCTATAAAGATAATATACTAATTCACTCTTTATAGTAATCCAGAAGAGCATTAATAAAATCTTAATTTAGTGTGGATGCCAGCTGTCATTTGTGAAATTGTGTATTTGTGAGGATGTTAAAATTCAGGCTTGGTATTGTATGTGTCTGCTGTTCATGTCTCTGATAATGCAAGTGGACATTTCTAGCATTTAAATATTTCATTCGATTTATCATTTAATGTACTGGAACAGTCTGCAAAGACACTAATTGTATAACACCCAATTTATTTTATTGTTCAGCATTTGGAAGCTTCTGAAGATAAGTCATTTGGCAGTTCATTGATGGAGACTGAAGTAAACCTGGACAGTTACCAAACAGCTTTAGAAGAAGTACTCTCATGGCTTCTTTCTGCTGAAGACACGTTGCAAGCACAAGGAGAGATTTCGAATGATGTAGAAGAAGTAAAAGAACAATTTCATACTCATGAGGTAAAACAAAAAGCATTGATTTATGAAATCAAGCACATGACTTATAATGGCACGTCCCCCTTTCTTTTTTTCTCAATTACTCTATAAAAGAGCATTGTAATTTGTAAATATAGTTTCATTTTGAGATGGAAACAAATAATGTTTATGTGCTTAGGATTTCATCAGCCAGTACTTGAAGTTCTCTTTTGGAGAACAACCCTCCAAGGGGTTAAGATCTGGTTTGCCAATGACTCCTGTAAGAATTTAAAATCCCAGCCCCCTTATGCCAAGGCAATAACAAGGGATAATTCTTAGGTATGTTCAAATATAGGTGTGTTCCAACAGTTATCATCAAAAATCATAATTCTGAAGTATACCTCAGAATACTTGAGTGATAGTGGGTTGTACTACCTTCAGAGGGAGACTTCAGGAAACTTCTCTTCTGAAGGAAAAGCCCAAGATAATATGCTTGCTTGGCTTCCTCCCCTTCCTACACTCTTTCTTGCTTCTTCAGTACTCCTGCACATCCTTCTGGGAGCTCTTTCTTAATAA